AGATAGATAGATAGATAGATAGATAGATAGATAGATAGATAGATAGACAGACAAAGTTGTAAAAGACAAAAAACTTAAAAGTAAATGTGAAAGACAGTTGGCTAGCTATTTAAGCAGAAGAATTTAAAACCCCTTCTTTGTACCCTCTGTTAAAATAAATGCGGGACTGGAGGGAAGGCTTTGGGGTTGAGAGCACTTACTGCTCTTGCACAGGACCTGAGTTCAGTTCCATATGGCGGCTCACAAACATCTGGAACTCCAGTTCCCGGAGATCTGACGACCTCTTCTGACCTCCACGGGCAGCAGGCAGGCACACGCGTGGAACACATACCTACATGCAGGCAAAGCTCTCACACACACAGAATGAAATTGAAAATATAAAGGTGTGTGTGTGTGTGTGTGCGCATCAAAGAACCAAATTAAAAATGTCAGTGTCACGCACCCATCAAACCAATATCTGTGAGGGGGAGGCAGCAAGACCAAAAGTTGAAGGCCAGTTTGGGCTATGAAGCCAGCTTGGACTATATGAACAAAAGACAGAAGATCCATATGAGAAACCCACAAAAGTATTAGGGGGAAATATAGAAAAAAGGGTTCAGAGCATGGGAGGTTTTCTTAGATGTGACTGGAATGGCAAGAGTAAACGGTTGATGAATTGCATCAATATTTTAGTACTTTGGAGGCCCAAGGTACTTCAAAAGACTAGTCAAAATAGGAAGAGACAACAGAAAGATTAACAGCAAGCAATTAATATAGAGTTATGTAGAGAACTGTAAACTGGAAGAGAAAAACATCTGAACATGAAAGTGGGTAAGGGATCCAAGTGGATAACCCAAAGGATCTAAGGACGGAATAAGAGAAGGTGACAATATTCTTTGGCTATCAGATTGTGATAAGCTTTGGTTTTTATGTATGGCTCTCGTAGTTCCCACCCGCTCTTCCGTGATTGGGCAGGGAGCGTGAGGTAGGTTGTGTCTGAGCACTCCATAGTCACTTAGGCTGCACTGCGACCAGTTGTGAGTTTCTGTGCCCTCTTTCTGCTGCACAAAGAATCTTCTCTCCTGATGAGGCCTGAGAGTAGCACCAAGCCTGGTTCAGGACTGGTCCACCAGAAATGTAGCGATATTGTTGTGAAACCAAAGGAATGTAAATGTGGGAAAGGATTTGGGGAAATGGCTTCACAGAAGGGCTTGCCTGCCACGGTGAAGTAGCGGATGCTCTCTAGTACCCTGAAAAAGAATGGAGAAAGAGCAAGCCCAGAACACAGAAGCAGGTAGAAGCCCGCCACAGGGAAAGCAATGGTATCGGCTCTCAACAGCAGATTTAGGGACCAAAGGAAAGGGCACCTTTGCAGCCCGCGTCCTCAGCAGTGCCAGCCCCATTTGTCCAAGGTTTGCGTGGCCACTGCAAGGAAGGGCTGGGGTGTCAGCATCCCTTCTCCGCCCTCACGCTGTCGTCTGTTTGCCATTTCTCTACAGGCCCAGGCCTTGTTATGCTCCAGTAAATTCGAAGCTGAGCTGAAAGCTGAGCAAGACGAGCGGAAACGAGAGGAGGAGGCCAGGAGGCTCCGCCAGGCAGCTTTCAGGGAGCTCAGGGCTACTTTCAGCGCATAGTCCTGCTGACCTGACCCACCACTGCAGCTGTGCCTTACCGATGCCCTGGAGGAGATGACCAGGATTTTCACATTTTCGCCCCTGCTGCCCGCTGCCTGAGTGACCCTCCCCTTTGAAAGCCCCAGGCCTGTTTCTTAGTGCTTCTGGATAACCAGCGACTGCTTTAGTCCTTCCCAGGGTCCTGGCCCCTTCTAAAAGGCTTTCCAACCGTCACTCCTCTGCTGTTCCCTGTGGCTGAGACTCGTCTCTTCTTGTCCCTGAGTAGTTCTATGTCAAAGAGTTCTGTTTATCTATGGTCCTCAGAAGACTTGTTGCTTAGCTTCTTGGGTGGTTCTTCCCTGTGGTCCTCCCATTGCTTCCTGGCCAGCGTCTCTCTCCCTGTCATTCATTACTCCGATTCCATTAATTTCTTTTTCGCCATCTTCCGTCATCCTAGTGGTGGTAGGATTTGAAAGGAGGACTTGTGGATCATTACCTATCCCCTCTCCAGCTGGGAACTAGCTTGCCTGTCTCCTGGCTCTTAACAATACCCACCCTCTGGTTCCCCATCCTTTTCTTCTCATTTCAGCCATTTTCCTACTCTTAAGTCCTTTACTGTAAGAATGAAAGAACTGGTGGAAGTAATATTAACAAGCAAAAGGCTATCTGTCATCTGACCCCAGGCAAATCAGAGTGGGCCTGTAAAATTCCCAAGTGACACATTTAAGGTCCTTTGAATTCCCAGAAGTAATGACCATCTTCCCATTCCAAAGAGTACCCATGGGACAGATTTTTGTACCTTGTGAGTTCTTGGGATTTCTCACAAATACCAGGGGTGTGTGTGTATTTTTTAACAACAAAAAAAGTCATTTATTACTTCTCATTTATAACTGCTGTCTTCACAATAAAGAAAACATCTGCCTTTCTACCTTACAGCTGCTTCCTTTTAAATAAAACGTGCAAATGGTCTTTGCCTTCACACAGGTGTGCCTTTGGTCTTTTTTGAATTAGGGGATGGAAGAACGTGCTTTCTATAGGGTCCGGTCAGCCTTGGGCTTTTCTGTTGCCCTTGAGTTCCTGAAGTATGGGTAGGACTAGGTGCAGGATGCGTAGAGCTGGGGTGTGCTCAGTGGTTGGAGCACTAGCTTAGCATTCATGAAGCCCTGAGTTCAGTCCAGGCACCACATACAACCAACCCTGGGCAGCACCTTCCTGCAATCTCCGCATTTTAGGACATAGATGCAGAATTCAAGTTCATGGTTATCCTTAGCTAGAAAGTGAGTTTAAGGCTAGGCTAGGCTACATGAGACCCTGTTTTAGGAGAAGCCAGGAGAACACCGAAGAAGAGGGGGAAGAAGGATTCTGGGAGGCAGAGGGATCAAGGACACCATGAGAATACAGCCAACAGAATCAACTAAGCAGGGGTCATAGGGCCTCACAGAGAATGAACTGACAATAAGACACTGTATGGGTCTGAGCTAGTTTCCTCTGTATATACATTATGGTTGCATAGCTTGGTGTTCTTATGGGACCCCTAACAGCGGATGTGGGGGTTACCTCTGATGCTTTTGCTTTTATTTGGGATCCTTTTTCTCCTACTAGGTCAACCTCATCCAGCCTTGATATGAAGGTTTGTGCCTAGACTTATTGTAATTTGTTATACCATGCTCAGTTGCTATCCCTAGGAGCCTGCTCTTATTTGTTTGTTTTTTAAGGAAAACAGAGGAGTGGATCTAGGAGAAAGGGGCAGTGTGGAAGAGGGGACTAGGAGGAATGGAGGTAGGGAGACTGTGTTTGGGATATAATGTATGCAAAGAATAAAAATCAAAATTAAAAAAAATGTACATTGACCAGCATCAAAAACAACAACAAAAAGAAGAAAGGAAGAAAGAAAGAAAGAAAGAAAGAAAGAAAGAAAGAAAGAAAGAAAG